TCATATACTGACTTGAGCGTCGGAGGCTCTACGCCGGAAACCCCTCCGGCGTTGAGCTCTTGCAGGTGTTCTTGCGGCTCAACAACAACGGTTCGAGTGCCATCACATCAGATCTAAGCTCATTCATACCGGTTCGTCCCAGATTTAGACGTTTTCTCATTGGACCGTTCCAGATCTGAGAAAAAACCCATCAATATTCATCTTTGGGAAGTGTATGGAATACATTTAAGAATATTTATCCGATTTATTCATATATTGATGCAGCAGAATGATAATATTACATCAAAAATTCTATGGAGCCATCGGATGATTTTCTTATGGAGTCATCCATGACTTAGTGTATTGACACTTGTCCAAAGTGCATTTATTGTAGGACACGTGTCAATACACTATTTGTGAATAAATGTGGATGGCTCAATAAGCCGAACCATCCGATGGATCCATAGCAAAACTGAATATTACATACCTCAAACCATTGCTTGTATGTGTTTGAGTCATTTGCAGAACTTGTAGAAAACAATACAGTGAAGGCTTTTAGGCACTTTTATTTTTGTTTTCTTCGGTCAATATTTTGTGGGCTCTTTCGCTTTCTCCTTAGATGGTGTAAGGTTCAGTTGTTGTAAAATGGTGAGCCCATGGACCTTTTGGCATCTGGTCCTTTTGACATAAAGGCACCTATTGGCGGTAGACACCTTTTGACAGGCACCGTTTGTAGAAATAATCTGATGTGTAATTATTAATTTTGTCCATCACAAAATTAATATCAATCGTCCGAAATGTATGGTATAGAAGATTACCAGTATTTGAACTCCTTTGAAATGATCTTGTTTATACATAATACAAGATAGTTGAGAATCTAAAATACTAAACATACTGACCTCAAACTTATTTATTTTCTTGCTTCGAGTCCGTCATTTTCTAGAAAAACTATCCAAATTTTGAACATGGACCGGTTAGACAATTATATCTCTGTATACCAAATGATCAATTTGTACTTAAATCAATCTTGGGTCTGGTGGGTTGGGTCGGGTCGGGTAGTTGGAACTGCAATAAAATACTAATAGTAGTATAAGTCAAACCACTTGATGATGACTTCACTAATTTGTTTTAGTGGATATAAAAATATTGTTATTGGCACCACACTATGAAATAGACTTGTTAAATGCTAATAGTAGTAAGTCAAACCAATTGACAATGATTTACCTAGTTTGTGTATGAGTATGTGTGTTATTTGAGTCGAGCCGAAATACGTGAGTAGTTCATGTATTCATACTTGTTTAATAAACGACTACAAGGCTCGGCTCGTTATGTTTCTGAAAGCTTGGCTTGACTTGTTTAATAAGCTTAAAATCATAAAAGAGTTATTCGTGATTAAGTTTGACTTGATTGTTCATACTTTTTTTTTTTTTTTTAATCCATAGATTTACGGTATAATATTATTTTTTCTGTTTATTTTTAAAATTATGATATTTGAATAGAACAACTAACACATATTTAAAATACACACACACACATATATATATTTATATATGTGATTATTTAATAATTAATTATGTCCAACATAAACCCAAATTGCATTAGTGGGTTGAGAAAAAAATAAAAATAAAAATAAAACTCTGGTTAGCATCATAATATGACATTGACTTGTTAAGTTCACTTTCATAGAAAATTAGCACTGCTATGAAGTATGAACCAATGAAAGTGAACTAATTGTACATCGTGTTTGATTTGTCAATGTTGCACCAGCTATAGTGCTATCGGGCCAGGCCTGGGCTTGGCCTTTGTCCTAGCCCAATGATAAAATACACCAAATAGCAAAGGGAATCCCCGTTTGAATTTATCGA